TGCATTGAATATCACACACCAAAAACAATGTACAGTTACTCTCTCCATGCCCCAATCACTGTTCCCCATGCAAAAAAAAAATGTTCCAGGGGCTGAGAGTGGGTGGAGGGGTGGGTATTATGAGAAGGAGGGGGGTGCAAGTGCATGGAAAACCTAAGCCCTTATAGTCCCAGCACACTGTGTCTGTGACAGCCAGCTTTGCTCTGCTCTGCTCCACTTCACCTGTTATCTGTCCATCACTGTATTGTGTTGCACTGTACTGTGCCGAGAGCTCTCAGCTCACACAATCAGAGTATTAGGACTGTACTTACAATAACCACAACAACTTCACTCTTTAAGACCAAATTTTAAGTATGACTACTGCTCTTGAACCATATAAATGCCAAGTTCCCCAATAGCCACTGTACAATAGCTATAAACTAGCAAAATAAAACTACTGTAAACTTTAGCTCCACCATACCATTGTAGCTGACAACAGATCTTCAGTCGATTAATGCGAACTTAATCCCCCGCACTCATTTCTTTTACATGCTTACTTTTCACACCAAATCAATTTCCCCATATCTTAAAAATGACCAAATGTAAGAATACAAATACAGACTCTTAACACAACTTATTCTTTGTATTGGAAAATACTCTATCTTCCTCACTCCTTCTCTTTCTCACACAGACACAGACACGGACACACACACACACACAGACACAGACACAACACACACACACACACACACACACACACACACACACACACACACACACACACACACACACACACACACACACACACACACACACACACACACGTATAACTTCCCCTGCTCCAGCTGTGTCTTAAGAAGTCAGGGCCAGACCGGTAATCGGACTGGGATAGAAGTTACTGGATCTGTATCCATTACAGGATGTAATACCCCTCAGTCCCAAACTCTCCTCACTTCCCCTTACCTTCCACTTTTTAGAGGTCATTTCAAGATCACCTTTTCCCTCAAACACACAACATAAGAGCTGTGTCGAGCATGGCATATATCAGGGACTCATATTTATGTCATTGCTTTGTCACCCCTATATCATCAACTCCTGCGACCACATCAGCCTTCTTGTCAACCCTCACCCATTCCAACACTTGCAGGAGACCAGCCCGTGGTCTGTGGCCCCAGCTGTGTTGTAGAAAAAGATTTCAGACGTCACAGGGAGAAAATAAAAAGGCTGTATCTTAAGGTGTGAGTTTACTTCAGGACACCAACGATTTGTTTTTAACAACCGGCAGCAACACCTTACCTCTGTGTTTTAGCTTTACAGCCAGCAGATCAGTAGCTCTAATGAGGTATCAGTTTCCAGTGAGGGAACTCAACACATCCTGTCAGGAAGCAAGGAGGCTGAGGAGCAGAAAGCGCTACCAGCAGTTTGGAACAGTGAGTCAGCTCTAACGCCTGCTGGTTCTTTTTTTCTCAAAACTGCTTTTTAATTTAGAAATATCTCAGCTTTTCACCAAAATGATAGTTCCGTCAATGACTTCCTGAGAGCTGAGTCTCTGTGAACGGACTAAACTGAATGCTTTCGAGGTAACGAGATGCATCAGTTTTATTGTGGGTGACAATAAATGCAAATAATAGAGCATTCTGGGTCCCTTTTGTGTAGTACCTGTACAGTCTATTGATTTTCTGAAAAATTTACATCAGACACCTGACGAGGCACTTAACATTAAGAGTCTACATTTGGTCTCATCATTCATTCAACTCAGTGAATCCTGAAATCATTAAGCAGGTGTTCAATGACACACACAGAAAAAGATAAAAAGCACCCAGATTTTGTCAACAACTTTATGAAAACTATAAACAGGTTACTGTGAAATAAGAGTTCAAGAGTGATACGACATTCTCAGTATTTGGAGAACAGGTAGGTGTTTTATACAGTTAAAACAAAACCTGAAATTCTGCAGAGAGCAACAGTCTCATTAGTGGACAGTGACAAAAGCAAAGCAACTGGCAGAGCTTTGACTGTGAAAACCGATACAGCGGTGCTTATTTCCACCAAGGACAATGAAATGTAAGCTATCACGCTCACTCCTCACTTCCCAGAACTCACATTGAAGGCTGCAGCCTGGCGTAGGTGGAAGGTCACTGAATCTGTGCATGTGTGTGTTTGTGTGTGTGATTTATAAAGTGTGCATAAGTGTGTGCATTCCCTATGCTCTCATTTCTCCTTGAGGAATAATGAACACATCGTTCTTTATTTGTTTGCTGCAGAGACAATGGCCTAGACATGCTGTAGGGCAAACTGTGACCTTCATGCAGACACAACACTGTAGCTGTCTACTGCCTGACTCCAGTTCACCTGTGGCTATAGGACCAGGAAACACTAGCTGACCAAGTCTAGACCTCCATTCACTTTACCAAGAATCCATGTGCTTAAAGTGGGAGAGAGTTGGAAGAAACTATGGCCGGGAAAAGGCAGACAGAGAAACACAAAGTGATAGTCGAGTGATAAATAAAATCATCTCTCTCTACCGGCTCCATCTTTTTCATTATACCATTTTTCAGAAAACAAACATTTGCCTGTTGAGTCACAGCTGAATCTATTGCCAGGACAATCAATCATCTGTGTGTCAACCAATGAATGAGACTGTTGCTGGTCCAATCAATCATGTATGTGTCAACCAATAAACAAGGCTGTTTCTTCCTCAGGCAAAATATAGTTTTAACTATCTGGGAATGCTTGAGCACATCTGATTAAACTTCAACCACAAAATAGCATTTGAGGGTGAGAAATAAAATGACTCACTCAAGCTGTTTTGTCTTTCAAATTTACAAATGGGGCATTTTGCTGACGCCAATCTTGGTCAGTTAACATGGAGATTTTTGGAGATACTCTTATCTAGGGGAGCACAGCAACAGTATTACAAGTTTAAAAATAATCAACCATTTTTATTTATTGATTTATATAGAATGAAAAAGAGTTTAGTTGAAATCCTGAAGAAATCTATCCTCAGATGAATAAATAAATAAATATTTTCAGTGAGCGTTCATCCCAGTTCTGGCAGACATCAGGAGCAGAGAATTTGTTTTATTGACCTATAGGTGGCGCACTAATGTTAGATTGGTATTTACATGGACTGAAACATTACATCCCAACACCTGACACCAAATCCAAAACACTGCACAGATGGAGATTTGATCTGTGCCATTTGCAGCAGTTGCATCACTACAAGAAGCAAGAGAAACTTAAACCATAAATAATAGGTGTTTGGGGGGAATGGGAGGGGGGGGGGGGGACTTGACATTAAGTGAAAGACATAGTGTGAATGACTTTCTGGCGTGTAACACAAACAAGAAAAAAAAACTTGGTAAAGGTCCAACTTTATGTCAGATTTCCCATATGTCTTCTTTTTGGCAGCTGTTTATGCAGACAGAGCAGTGAGTGTTACCATGAGTCTAAAACATTCTAGCAATTTTTATGTTTGTGTCCATGGGTACTTACATGTGCAGTGCAAATGCTTAAATGTTCATGGCATTCAAAAAGACTGTTATTCCTCCCAAGGCTTGGATTTAAATGACAAAACAGCCTCTCCGAGGAAGTAAGAAGTAAGAAGAGGGCAACACAGCATGGACTCCATAGGAAAGCCGACTCAATCGGTGACAATGACAGGAAAGATGGACGAGAAAGAGGGAATGACAAGCAGCCAGAGGTCGCAGGACGACCTCAGCACATAGCACAGTGAGTATGAGGTATGAGCCTTTGCTGGCTTGACTTCAGTTCTTCCAGCTGAAACAATCTCCAATGACTTTAAATAGACCAACAATACAGAGAGAAAAGAAAAATATTCACGGACACTATCACTCACAGGAAACACTGTCTAAGCCTGTATTCTGTAGTCTTACTTAACAGCACACACACTATCATTTAAATTCCTTCAATAATGGCTTTTTTTAAATTAAGGGTTACAAAGACAATCTACAGAGTTGCTGTGCCACGGCAGGGGAAAAAATCTTTGTCAAACCTTAATGACACACATCACAGCACTAAACATAACAGACTATTAAATCTGACACGTTCTCTTACTCAACACCTCGCCAATCACACTCCAGATACCAAACATGGTCACAGACAAAGCGGTTGATGTGGCTAACGGTAACATTGTCAGTCCATGAAAATATATCTCTCTGTCTGTTTAAGAAAACATCAAATACACAGTGATTGAAGGGGTGTAACTAAATGTCAGAGCAACTGTAGAAAGTGTGAAAATGTCAACGCGATCAGATTATCAATAACTTACCACGCTTTAACTTGCAATAACTTATTTTTGTCAGTCTTGTCAGGAGAAAAGCTTAAATGTTATCTTCAAGAGATTGTTGTTGATTTACCATATCAATATGATATAAAAATATGAAACCAAAGACATATTTGCTCTACAATAGTGTTTTTGAAATGACTTCTTGTCTCAAATTCACTGTTTAAAAAGACAAAACACAGAGCTGGACACACCAAAGTCATACAATTTAACAACTGGAAAATAAAATGAAAAAGGCTGTAAAATCATGTCAGCTGGGATTTATTTGAGCTGCTGGCCTTGATAAAATCCTACCCATATTGCTGTTACATTACATGTAACATAAAATGTGAATGATTCCCTGATTTAAAAACAACCACATGCATACACGTTTAGGATCATGTCTACATCAGTTGCTTCGTTTTGGAGCTTATTTCTGAAACTCAGTCATCACGAGTTGCTTACAGACTGTAGACACAGCAGAGTAGGGCACAAATTAAAGCTGCAACTTTTAAAAATGACACATGTGTATGCACAAAGTGCTTTTACAAGTAAGATTCAAGATGTGAGACACAGAGCAGACAGGGAAAACAAACACCACAATACTGTTTGCAGTAAGGAGAACTCACAGCTAAACAACAAAAGAAAATCAGCTGCATCAGAGCAACTCAGAGCAATGTTTAGTAAAAACAGCAAAACTGTTGAGGGCAGCCAGAGAGAGTTTGCAGTAACTCACCGTGTGCTTGCGCGTGAAGAGAGAACAGTCCAAGCAACAGCAGAGGACTCCGGCTCCAGAGACAGAGAGAGAGACAGCGCTTCAGCCTTTCTCCCTGCACTGGCATGGTAGAGTCTGCGGCTCCGCTCCTCTCTTCTCCCCTCTTCAGTACACTCCACACGACAGGGTCCGCCACTCACACACTGCTTCTCCCAACGAGTGTGTGTATGTATGTATGTGCCAGAGAGACAGAGAGAGAGAGAGAGAGGTGGGGAGGGGGAGTACCAGGGCATGCAAGCTCCTGTGTGTGTGTGTGTGTGTGTGTGTGTGTGTGTCCACCGCAACGTGAGAAAGTCCACACCACACAAAACACACCAGCAGCGGCAGCAGCAGTTGCAGTTGATTGTCCTCCAACCCGGTCTGACAGTAGCAGCCCAGCTGAGAGAGAGAGAGAGAGAGAGAGAGAGAGAGAGAGAGAGAGAGAGAGAGAGAGAGGGGCAAAAAAAGGGGGAGTTTACTTCACTTGCCTAGTAGGGAGGGCTGACCCGCTCACACAAACACACACACATGCAGGGAGGGAGGACATGGGTGGAAAGAAAACGGGGGCAGGGAGCAGACAGGAGCAAGATGGGGTTTACTAAAAAGTAGGAGGGTGAGGAGGATATTGAAAACAAGCAGAATCTGTGGGATTCAGCGCCTTTAACAGTTTACAGATAACTGTTTCCACTTTTCATTTTCTGCAGAACTTATTTAAACAAGGTAAAGGTGGAATGAATGGCTGATTAAACCTATAGACTCTAAAGATGGTGGGTTTTTTTAAGCATTGGTACAATTGAGAACCTGTGACATCGTAGACAACTAAGCGGAATTAAAAAAAAGTTGTCAAAAACAGCCAACAGTCATCAATTTAAACGTCACAAAAACATCATCTTTCTTGACATTACTACAGTGGGTCCTTATTTGTGTATGCATACCCTAGCTGTGGATATTTGACCAGTTTATGTTTAAAGCCACCAGTGTGAACATTGTAAAACTTTCCTTGTGCAAGCCCTCACCAGCAGCCCAAGTAGCAAAAGCATTTACGAGCAAGGGCCTACTTCAAGTGTGCTAAAACAGAGTGGATTTCGATTGTTTGTTTTGATACATGAAAAGGATAAATTTGTAGTCTGCAGCTTGGAAATTGCCTATTTAAAACCATGTTTGAAGTCAAACTGTACCAAAGTTTGTCTGACTGGTCTCTCTGCAGGTTGGGATTACCAGTCAAAGACTTTTTATTACCCCGTTATTACCTGCAACCAAGATTTGTTTTAAGACAGGAGATAACAGTATTTTTGAGAAAATACATCAAATCAATTTGAAAATAAGACACCTGGACTCCAGAAAATCTCTGACAAAACATTTCTCCACCCTGTAGTGTGCTGTTAACAAATCAGGTAGCTGGCAAAGACACTTTAAAGGAGCTGTTAGAGATTACATCACCCTTGCCTGGAGCTTTTATACTAATAAATAAATGGGTTAAGACACTCTAATAGACCATTTCCTTTTCAGAGCTATCCTGTTGCCTGTGAGACATTTACTGTAGACAAAACTTTGTGTGTGTGTGTGTGTGTGTGTGTATGAGAGAACACTTTGCTTTTAACAAAAAGCATTACAGACCTGAAACAGCACTAAATGAGCAGGCAACCCCCCCCCCAGCACAAAATGCTGATTTATAAATTTTGAGGTTAAATAGACGAGGCAAACAGTTTTTGTTTTCATGTTAATCTGTCTCGTTTGTTCTTTGCACTTCTTTTCTTTCCCCCACTCGTTCATGTTGTTCATTAGTGACAAACAATAGGCGGCCTGGCTCTCTCGCTCCTCGATGAGAGGAAAAATCACTTTGTAAATAAACAGTCCTGCCCTATTCTTCTTGTGTCTGCCCTCATCCCTTTCTCTTTGAAGCCCCTTTCCCACACGAACCATAACATACAGTTACTGACGTTAGTGTCAATTTGGGCTCATGTGGAAACAAGATCCAGTGTCAGTTTTTGAAGAACCAAGACAACTTTTGGTCTCTTGGTCGGCATGTTGACAATAAAAACTCATTTGAAAATATTAGGCACTGTATATCCTTTATATGGGGGTGTGTATGATCTATTGGGAGAAATGAAATATAATATACATAGGTAACAAAAACATGATTATTCTTATATTCAGGTGATTATACACTAATGAAAACATACCTTAGAATGAGTTTTTTATATGTACAGTATGTATATGACCCGTGGTGGGTCACATTCCACCACCATGTTTCTAGTAGCCCAGAACAGACCATAGTTTCTCCTAGACACTTCATGGCCAGTTCTCATTCCCAGGTGATCAGATACAGACAAGTGGTGTTCAGCTAGTTGCAATTTGCAGCTTCACTGCTAGATGCCATTAAATCCTACACACTGGTCCTTTAACGTGTTGGTAGTTAAGCTGGACGGGTAACTGTCATTTCACAGTGAAATCCATCATTACACTCTCACAAATCCCCCTTATCATTCTGTTCTGCATCTGTGAAAAGTTTTTGTACCTCACGAACTTAGCTGCCCTCCCCCCTCCACTTCTGTCTTTCTCTCTTCCACTCCTTTTCCTACCCCCCTCCTCCATTAAACCAGAATGTCATTTCAAGCATGTCTAACCACGGGAAGCCTTTTAAAAACTGTGACAGCATTTGCCCCCAATCCCCACTAGCTGTGTATGTGTATGTGTATGTGTGTGTGTGTGTGTGTGTGTGTGTGTGTGTGTGTGTGTGTGTGTGTGTGTGTGTGTGAGAGAGAGAGAGTGTGAGAGAGAGAATGAGTGAAATTAATGTCTATAATGATTTGCTAAAGGACAGGATATCATATCTATATTGAAGTTACTTTAAGGTATTGTAGACTGATGTCCCCCAAACACACTCTCACACACACACACACACACACACACACACACACACACACACACACACACACACACACTTGCTATTCTTCCATAGCGTCACCCTCATGCTGGGCCTATGATAAATGGCTGAGACTGTCACAAGTGAAGGATGAGCAGAAAAAGTGAAAGAGAAAGAAGAGCAAAGAAAAGGCTTCTGACAGGAAAAACAAAAGGAAAGATCAGAGAAGAATGATGGGTGTCTTGAAGGAGTTCAGAGAGAGGAGGGATAATGTGTATGGGAAGAGGAAGACAGAGTGATGGGCAGTAGGGATCACAGAGATATGAAAATGCAAATGTTTAGGTCAAAACTGAAGTTGCTGAATCTGAAGCATATTTTTACTACTTCTGTCTTCCATATGCTAATGGTACCCAAGCTCCCTTTACACATTCAGATGATGTATCTCAGCCAGTGCTGGGGGTCAATAGGCTGCCTATTCAGCATTCACTCTCTCATCTTTTTTGACAGGCTGTCATAACACAACAACTTCACATGCCAGTGGCTTTCAGCGTCAATACTTAAAAAGGATATCGAGTTTGCTTTCACAATGTCGCCAAGGGTGCAGAAATGTGAAAACACATTTACTTTCATATCTCGGAAATTAGGATGCAAATGACAACATCTAACCACTTATTAGGCTCAAGCAATGCAAGAATCCTCCATCACTGCCTGGTAATAACCACGTATCTGCAAAGGTGGAGATTTAGAATTTTTCAAATAAACTGAAGGACTTTGTTTGTTGGTTGAGAAAATGCTCATACATCTTAAGCAAAATTAACCATTTAAAAACCCATTAAGCTGAAAAGTGAGCCGTTTTTTAAAGGGGATATTAAACGTCCTTTGTGCCTCCAGATGGAGCTGTGTGGATACATTGGTTGGAGCGTAGACTAAAAGTTTGAAAATTAAAAGAATCTGAGGGTGTGAAAGGAGGGAGCCTAGCAGACCTCTGTAGCCTGCTCCCCATCTCTGCTTGAGGCTAGCGGCTCGATGCTACATTACCTTTTACTAGCATAACACACCTCAATCCGTAACTAAACTGCTGGGGGTCCAGTTGCATTATGGGTGATGTAGGGACCAGGTTTTAACAAGGAAAAGGAAATGAAAAAAAAGAAACGGCAAACTCTCCAATGTGAGTCTGTTAATATTATAGGAGAGCAATCAACGTTAAAGCAGTGGAATAGTCTTTGGAGAAAATCACATGGAGACACGTTAACTATAATTTACTAGGGATTTTTTCTGTTGTCAAACGAAACCGTTATTTAAGATGCAACAAACACCTAGCACATTTTTACACCATGTGTTTTCTGGGAGCTCTTTCAGGTTACATGGACTCAACGTTCTCAAAAACATGTAAATGGACTTGGCATACTTGTGGCTTCACATACAGACATTTGTTATTCAAATACATTATTACCGCTTTGGGATTTCCATCTGTGCCAGAGGATTTAAAGACCACCTTACCTTTTCCTGGTTCCCTTTTAGAAGCATGTATCCCTTTATTTGAAGTGTGAACTGACTAACAGACAGGGGATTAAGTACATTTTGGAGAAACACCTCTGTGGCACAGCAGCACATCTGCTAATCCCCATCCATTCACTTCAGCATGTCTTTAAACTAACAAGCAGTTTAACATAATCTGCTTTAAGCCTGTCCATTCACTCCTATTCACTGGTGCATTTACATAGCAATCCTTTCTGCCTGAATGGTCCGTGGAGAGAGAGAGACACAAAGAAAGGAGAGAACATACGTACGGCAGTGTGGGGTTGTAGATGTGGGAGAGTTGTGTGAGAGAGTTCTTCTTCCCATTACAGTTTCAACTTCTCTGCCTCAAGAAGACATATACAGTGGTGAAGTACTCTCTTGTTTTGGCACAGAAGTAGCCACATATGATCCAAAAACTCTAGAATACACTTTGTCAAATAGAATAGAAATATCGGCTGCAAAAAAAAAAAAAGTAAAAGGTGGAAAGTTTGGAGGGAACTTGAAGGAGTTGGTGAATAAGATTTATTGATGGAGGCAAGTAGGGAGTGCATGAAAAACTGGTGGAATGTGGAAGGGGTGGAGTGGAGAAGAAAAAGTGCATGATGTTGAACATGGTTAAACCTTTTCACCCTGAGTTGCGAACAACAACTTCTGCACAGAGTCCTGTGACTGAGGCCCACTGACGCTAGCTACTCCTGTCCCAAACACACCCACCACAACTGCCAGGGAACTGATGAGAGAAATGAGGATAACAAGGGCAAACACAGAGTGAGAAGTGGAATGACGATGAAGCGGCAGCAGAGAAGAAGTCTTTCAGGTCCACCTTTGACCTGAAAACTGATTTGTTCTTAACTGACCTTTCACCTTTGAAGAAAATCCCTCTACACTACACCTAGGGAATCCTTTTTCACAGACAAGTCAGGATGAAAGTCAACAGGGAAAAATCAGGAGTCAAAGGATGAATCGTAAGTCAAGTAAAGGAAGGAAGGAAGAAACAAGCAGTTATAAGAAG